TTTTTTCTGATGAAGGGTTCTGATGAAGGCCCGAAACGTCAGCCTTTCTGCTCCTATATGCTGCTTGGCCTGCTGTGTTCATCTTGTTGTCTCGGATTCTCCAGCATCTGCAGTTCTTACTATCTCTCCTTCCACCCAATCCATTCAGGTTATTGTCCAGCATTGTCAATTTGCAAATGGGAGAAGTCTGAAAACTGGAGAACTGTCTTTAAGCAAGTAGAAATACTGCTCAATCGCCTTAATTGCTAGATGCATGAAAATATATCCAATATGTTTTTAATATACAACTGAGGTAGAAAATAGCAAATACAGCAGTCCCTGCATTCTGAAAAAGAAATAAAACAAATACTTTATTGCATTTGGTTTTCCCTGAGTCAAAAAGTAATATTTGTGTAAAATGATTACATACTAACTAGTAATATTGGAATATTTTATTTGAATAGAATAATTTAAACACATTTTCACATGCAAGTCACACAAAAAACTTAGAGATAACAAGGTGTAGAGCTGGATGAACACAGCAGGCCAAGCAGCATCATAGGAGCAGGAAGGCTGACGTTTCGGGGCTAGACCCTTCATCAGAAATGGGGGAGGGGAAGAGGGTTCTGAAATAAATAGGGAGAGAGGGGGAGGCGGATAGAAGATGGATAGAGGAGAAGATAGGTGGAGAGGAAACAGACAGGTCGAAGAGCCGGGGATGGAGCCAGTAAAGGTGAGTGTAGGTGGGGAGTTAGGGAGGAAATAGGTCAGTCCAGGGAGGACAGACAGGTCAAGGGGGCGGGATGAGGTTAGTAGGTAGGAGATGGGGGTGCGGCTTGAGGTGGGAGGAGGGGATAGTTGGGAGGAAGAACAGGTTAGGGAGGCGGGGACGAGCTGGGCTGGTTTTGGGATGCGGTAGGGGGAGGGGAGATTTTGAAGCTTGTAAAATCCACATTGATACCGTTGGGCTGCAGGGTTCCCAAGCGGAATATGAGTTGCTGTTCCTGCAACCTTCGAGTGGCATCATTGTGGCACTGCAGGAGGCCCAGGATGGACATGTCGTTTGAGGAATGGGAGGGGGAGTTGAAATGGTTCGCGACTGGGAGGTGCACTTGTTTATTGCGAACCGAGCGTAGGTGTTCTGCAAAGCGGTCCCCAAGCCTCTGCTTGGTTTCCCCGATGTGGAGGAGGCTACACCGGGTACAGCGGATGCAGTATACCACATTAGCAGATGTGCAGGTGAACTTCTGCTTGATGTGGAAAGTCTTCTTGGGGCCTGGGATGGGAGTGAGGGAGGAGGTATGGGGGCAGGTGTAGCACTTCCTACGGTTGCAGGGAAAAGTGCCGGGTGTGGTGGGACTGGAGGGGAGTGTGGAGCAGACAAGGGAGTCACGGAGAGAGTGGTCCCTCCGGAAAGCAGATAAGGGTGGGGAGGCAAAAATGTCTTTGGTGGTGGGGTCGGATTGCAGATGGCGGAAGAGTCGGAGGATGATGTGTTGGATCCGGAGGTTGGTGGGGTGTTACGTGAGGATGAGGGGATTCTTTTTTGGTTGTTATTGCGGGGACGGGGTGTGAGGGATGAGTTGCGGGAAATGCGGGAGACACGGTCGAGGGCGTTCTCGACCAC